AAAAAAATATACCACCTATGCCCCTCTCAAAATCATTCAACTTCATCTAAAACATTGTTCGCTGTGAGTAATAATAATGACGCAAATCTAGATGGCAAAATGTGGTGAGCCACCCTGTATAACGCATTGTTCATTGTAATATTCGAAGTCGAGGTATGTTATATAAAAACAGTCAGATATGAAATACAAATCCCAGTTCTGTTGGAATCGTATATATTCTGAGTGAATCATTCCCGACAGACCGATTGATCATCTAAGCAGCAGGTGCCTGAAGGTCTTGTCAGGTTTTTGCGAATATTCGACGGTGAAGCTTGCTCCTGGGATTTCAAGTTCTCCGGTTTAAAGGTCTCCGTTCACCGGTGATGGAACTTGCTCCTGAGAGTTCTATTCTGATTGTCCGGCATTCTAGTAAATTGTCGTTTTGTCTCCATATTGACGCTCGATGGAGTTTCTGAGATTTAATATAATAGACACATTTGTAATCTCTCGGGACATCGAAAATATTTTCTTGTAGAAACGTTTCGTTCAATGGATTTATAATTGTGATTCTGTTTTAACATTGGGTGGGTACTCGATCATGTGGTGTTGCGTGCAGTTATTCTTTCGGAATAAGGTTAGAACATTGGAATTTAGGATGCAGGAAATTTGGGACTGGAGACTTGGGGATATAGAGATTTTGTAATTTCAAAATTGGTGAATTTAGGGAGTTGTGATTTAGGTTACTGGGATTTGGGGATATAGCGATTTGGGGATGAAGTAATTTTTATGTGGATTTGGAAATTTGGGACTGGAGACTTGGGGATATAGAGATTTTGTAATTTCAAAATTGGTGAATTTAGGGAGTTGTGATTTAGGTTACTGGGATTTGGGGATATGGCGATTTGAAGATATGTGGATTTGGAAATTTAGGAAAATAGGTATTTGGGAAATTAGGGACTAGTGATTTTAGGACTTCGAAACATCTGTGAAAACGATTTTTGGCGACCTGCAAAGAAAATTTTTTACTGTTATATCATTCCCTATATTATCGATGAGGTACACATAACATTCTTTATAACATAACATTTTTGGACTCTTGGAATATACTACAAACAGTATAAAATCAATATTAATAAATATATAGCATATTAATCAATAAAATAATATTAATTGAGTAAAAAAAAAAATGGAACCAGTGGCGCCATCTCTCCGGCAAACAGGGTGAACTACACGGTTTTGAAACAGAGGCTTCATTAGTTCCCGCCTGTCACCGCTAGATGGCGACACGCGTATCTTTTCTGTTCAATTCAATCGATGTAGTTAATTTTATTAGTTTAATGGACTATAATACGAAACGAATTACATTGGAATGCAAAATCAGTTAGCTTCAACTTGTTTAGACTTTACTAAACTACTATTAATTTTGACCAATTTTGGCTAATTCTAATTACCCTAAGAGTTTCTGTGGTGATCATCAGAGTCGTCGTCGGTCAAGAGGAATTCTATTTTCAAGCCGTCGATAAAGAAGATTTTTATTTGTATTTGATATTCAATTTTTATTTATGTTCAATTGTATTTTTAAAAGAAAAACGTTCGTTATTCATTCCATAATCAAATCTGAATTCGAAGCAACATATTTTAAAATCAATTTCAATTAATCAGTTATTTTTTAAAGTTTTAATTAATTGACTATTTTAATTGAATTCTCACAAAAAAAAATGTGGTGATCATTAGAGTCATCGTCGATCAAGAGGAATTCTATTTTCAAGCCGTCGATAAAGAAGATTTTTATTTGTATTTGATATTCAATTTTTATTTATGTTCAATTGTATTTTTAAAAGAAAAACGTTCGTTATTCATTCCATAATCAAATCTGAATTCGAAGCAACATATTTTAAAATCAATTTCAATTAATCAGTTATTTTTTAAAGTTTTAATTAATTGACTATTTTAATTGAATTCTCACAAAAAAAAATGTGGTGATCATTAGAGTCATCGTCGATCAAGAGGAATTCTATTTTCAAGCCGTCGATAAAGAAGAATTTTATTTGTATTTGATATTCAATTTTCATTTATGTTCAATTGTATTTTTAAAAGAAAAACGTTCGTTATTCATTCCATAATCAAATCTGAATTCGAAGCAACATATTTTAAAATCAATTTCAATAAATCAGTTATTTTTCAAAGTTATAATTAATTGACTATTTTAATTGAATTCTCACAAAAAAAAAAAAATGGAACAAGTGGCGCCATCTTTCCGGCGAACGAGGTGAACTACACACTTTTGAGACAGGTAGTTTTATTAGTTCTTAGTATCTACCGCTAGATGGCGGCATTGGTGACATAAATGTGGTGATCATCAGAGTCGACGGTCAAGAAGAGTTCTGTTATTAAAATCGTCGGCCAAGGAAAGCTCTGCCTACAATTCTGAACAAATGATCAATGTTTAAAGTAGTCGTCTTTTGATCGTATTCAATTTTATTTTGAAAACAAATTCGTTTACTACTTAATCTATAATTGAACCTCAATTCAAGAACATGTATTAAAATTAAATTCAGAATCAATCAATTAACTTACGAATGGTCACAAATTGACAATAGTTTGGTAAAGTCAAAACACTTCTAAGTTAGTTGGTCTTGCACTACGATATAATTTGATTCATATTATAGTCAATTAAGTTAATAAAATTAACTGTATTGATTGAATTGAACTGAAAACGATTCACGTGGCGCCATCTAGCGGCAATATGTGGAAACTAACGAAGCGACAGTTTCAAAACCTTGTAGTTCACCTTATTTGCCGGAAAGATGGCGCCACTTGGTCAATTTTCTTAAAGATATTAATTAATATTGATTTTTTTGGCTTAATTTACTATAATATGCACCAAATTACATTGGAATATAAGAATAATTAAGTGTGCAATGTTTTGACTTTACCAAAACCATTATTGATTCGATATTAATTTTTTTTCAGGTAATAAACTACAGCCTGCGTCAAAGTGCTTTGAGATTTTACACTAATTATCCCTAGAATAATTTTAAACTGTTAGCAGGTCGAATAAGTTATTTGTTAATAACAAAAAGTAATATAATTTCAAAAATTGTAACTGACTACAATTTGAATATTATTTACTTCTTTTTGCAAATTAAAATTGTAAACTAAACGGATTCTGGCTATTAATAGTCAATATTCATATTAATTAATAATGACAACAATATTAAATATCAAAAAGTTTATTTATTTCAGTTGCATGAGTGATTCATATTTATGATATAAAAACATAGAAATATACAAAGAAATAACATACAAATATAGTTAATAGTAATACAGTAACATATTATTATTTCTTACAACTATATTTTATTTTTCATACCTGTATATAAATTATTTTTATTCGTAAATTCTTACATATTAAAAATACCAATTTTTAAATATTAAAATTATTTAGGATAACTGCGATACATATATCGATAACAATAAGTCAGTTTACCATACAAGGCAAAAATAACTGATCCCCACAAAAATTTGTAGTTAATTATTATTCTCATTACACATCATTGTATATCATTCATTTTACTGTTAACAAATTTTAACGTGAATATTTAATGTTTGCTTTTTAATAATATTTATTATTAATTAATTTAATAGTAGTTCATGTGTCATCATCAATTTTCAAATTGCAACAATTTAAAACAATTATTTTGTTCAATACCTCTGTAATTTGAACAATGTTTCACAAACTGTATCAGTATGAAATTGTTCAGAAATAAAAAAGTACATAAAATTAATAGTAACACCTCAGTACAAATACATACTTTAAAAAATATGTAAACATAATTTTACATACTACAAAACAGTTCTGTATCAATTAAGAAGCTATCAAGATAATCGTAATTAATAACATAGTAATAATTGATATGAACAAATAATTCATAAAATACTATATATAAAATAATAATCTCTAATCTTGTGAATAAGTGCAAATCAATTTTAAGTGAAATTTTGTAAATTGTAAATTATGTTCAATCTTCTCAAAATGTTACAAACAGTACTGTTATTGTTACAAGTTATAAATGTTAAAAACAATACGTTGTTGTTTTACACATATTGTTTCTTGCAATAATATTAAGGAATACATGAATAATACTAAATGTTTTCAATAATACTAAACAGTTTTAAATACTTTGCTGCAAGATACAATATTCTTATTAACAACTATTAACAAATAGGTGCACTTGAAAGACAGTGGTATTTAATAGATACTTTTGTAGGCATATTATGTAATACTAAATTATCAAAAATATAAATATATTATCCATTTGTTAAACTCGATATTTATCGCACATATCACACTCCATGTAAAGCTTCATTTTTATAATAAATGTTCGTATGTCTATCTGAAGTATTCAACATTCAGAAGATTTTTTGTTGCATCCTTTTGTATCCCTTTACATATGCCCCTGAGCATGAAGATATTACTGTTTTTAATTTGAAAATTTGGGGGTTGGAAAATTTGAAATTTTACACTTTTGGATTTTTAAGTTATAGAGATTCTAAATTTATAATTTTTGTAGCTGCAGATTTTGCAATTTTTAATTTTTCAGCTTTTCAAATTTTTCATTTTCCAGCTTTCTGAATTTTTCATTTTCCAACTTTCCACATTTTCTTTCTTCAAATTTCTAAATTGCGAATTACCAAATTTCTAATTTCCCAAATTTTCAAATGTTCAAATTTTCAATTTTTCAATTCCTCAATTCTTAAATTTCCAATTTCCCAAATTCTCAAATGTTCAAATTTTCAATTTTTCAAATTCCCCAATTCTTAAATTTCCAAGTTCTCAAATTTTCAATTTTTCAAATTCCCTAATTCTCAAATTTCCAAGTTCTCAAATCCCGAAATTTTCAATTTTTCAAATTCCTCAATTCTCAAATTACCAAGTTCTCAAATTCCCAAATTTCCAAGTTTTCAAATTTTCAAATAGTCAAATCCTTAATCTCCATTTTCCTAATTTCTAATTTTCAAACCTTTCACACTCCTAAATTTTCAAATTTCCCAATTTTTTAATCATCCACTGTTTCTGAATTTCTCAAATTGATTCCCAAATCAAGTTGTAACTCAAAACTCTCATCCCCAGTAGAAAGATTTACATAACAAACAATTACAAAGGGTTAAAATCGATGTCCGCAGCTACCACGGTCTCCACATGGGATCAGCTTCGTCAACTCGTTCCACGTCGATCTCTTCGTCGTCTTCGATTTTCATTTCCGTTTTCACCCTCTTCGCTGCGCGTTGTTCTCTCGAGTCCTTTATTCGAGAACCATCCTCGTCTACTGCTTCAGTATCCTCGATCATTGTCGTTGAATTACGCCGAGTGGAGAGGTTCAAGGTCGTTGTTTCGGTAGTTGTATTTGCATAATTGATAACGTTTTGGCTTGTGGATGTCACCCTGTTGTCTTCGATCGCAGGATTCACGAGAGCAGGCGACGCCAAGTCAACTTTGAGGTTCAAGTTCGCTAAAATCTGAGTGAGCAGGTTCGTTTTCAACTGAAAATAAATAAATACTTTCTTTTACTGTGGAAAATTTTTTAATAATATTTAATTAATAATAATAGGATTAAGTCATAAAAATATTATTAAATCATATTATTGAATTTGTGATGTAGGGGTTTTAGGATTTAGGAACTTTTTGGATTAGGGATTTTTGTGTTTTGGGACTTTTTGTTCTAGGGATTTTGCATCTAGGGACTTTGGGATCCATGGATTTTGGAATTTAGGAATTTTTGTATTTTGGGTTTTTTTTTATCTGGGGGATTTTTTATCTAGGGACTTTGGGATCTATGGATTTTGGAATTTAAAGATTTTTTTATTTTGGGTTTCTTGATCTGGGGATTTTGGATCTAGGGACTTTGGAATCTAGGGATTTTTGAATTTAGGTGTTATTGTATTTTGAGTTTTTTGATCTGGTGATTTTTTATTTAGGAACTTTGAGACCTAGGGATTTTGAAATTTAGGAGTTCTTGTATTTTAGGTTTTTTGATCTGGTGATTTTGGATCTAGGGATTTTGAAATTTAGGAATTCTTGTATTTTGAGTTCTTTGATTTGATGATTTTTGATGTAGGGACTTTGGGTTCTAAGGATTTTGGAAATTAGGAGTTTTTGTATTTTGAGTTCTTTGATCTGGGAATTTTGTATCTAGGGACTTTGCGATCTAGGGATTATTTGATCTTACTATTTTTACATTCAAAAATTGTTGAGTTCTAGGAATTTTTTGATCTAGAGAAACAGCGTTTCTGATCTACGAATTTAGGAAATTTTACACTTAAAAATTTTTCTGAGAATTTAGAAAATTTAAAATATTTAGGAAAATTAGAAATTTAAGAATCCTAAAACTTAGCTGCTAAAGACCTAAAAACATATGTACTTAAAAACTGAAGCATTTGCAAATTGTCAGACACAAAAATTCAGCCTTGAAACATCAAATTTACGTTTCCGTATTTAAACGAAACCCACGTTGTGTACGAATCGTGCACAGCGTAAACGATCAAAGGGGGTTAAAGAAACCGGAATGAGCGCGTGAACGCAAAGGCGCGATCGAATCTCGGTGACGCCGCGGTAACAAGAACTTTCGCTTCATTGTCTCCAGATCATCGATGAAGAGATAATTACCGACGAATTCGTTTGTCGGCTCTTCTGAAGACCAGCTGCGAGGTGTCTGGCTAACCTTTCCGCACCTTCACCTGGAAGAGCCGAGAGAAATCTGTACGCCTCAGCTGCACAGTGGCCGAAACCGGACAGCCACCGACTTTCGGCCGACACCTCTGCGTTATTCGCCATCGTGGCCGGTAATACGGAAGGCTGCGATCCTTGTAGCCTTTGTAAATGGCGCACAGTCAGCTCCAGAATGTCCGCTTTCTCCAGTTTACTGATGTCCTCCCCTTCCGTCTGCGGACAATAAATCTTCTTTGATTCTCTTCACACCGTTCGAACATGATTTTTGGGTCATACGCACAATGTCGTTTATGTCGCATCTCGATGCGCGCAACGACGCATTCGGCGCATGCGCACAACGCTACTTCATGTAATGCGTGCAACAATGTTTGTGTTATGCGCACAACGTCATTTTGGTTTATGCGCACGTTGTTTTGGATTCAGCAAACGTTTTATCTCGTGCGCATAATGACGTCTTGAGATACGCGCGCAATTGTTGAGTTCTGCGCATGCGCCAACGAATTTACGAGGGAAAACTTGTTACTCGAGACGTTAATATATTTCTCTCGTTTTCAGCTTATGGTAGGAGCTTGACATTTCGTGAGAGATATGAAAAATGTGTTCTACATTGAATATTGATGGAGAAAATTAATGTGACACCTTGCAAATTGAATTAATCTTGAGGTGAGTGTTGTAGATGTAATTAAGTGATACTGGATGGGCTTGGAATGGAAAAATTATGGTTTGAAGCTTGTGTAGTGGGGAGACGTAGAAGTTTTGATACATTAATAAATTATTAAACTGAACTAGTAAGTTATTAAAGTAGAAAATTAGTAAAACAGTAGAATAAACTGGTAAATCAATAAAATAGTAAATTAATAAATTAAATTTTTTTACTAGAATAATCCCATTTTTCTGCATTCCTACATCTTCACCCTTACAGTGTAAGTATCAGAAATTTCAACCATACAATTCATACATATTAATTCAACAACCATTCAGAATTAACTAAATCTACATTTTAAAAATTTCCATAGGTCTCTCATAGATGTCAACACACACCATGCATCCGAATGACCCTGTTTTCATCCGGCACGTACTCAGCCAATTCCTGCTCTATATTTAAATAATTTCTCAAGCATTTTATATGGAAATTAACTGAACAAAAATTTGCAGGGACGTGTTTACTCAAGAATGAAATTTGGGTTCAATATTTCGAGCAAAATTCCTGGTGGTCGACGATTCATGACTGATACAAAATTTGAGGGTAAACGCGATGTGTAATTACCTACTTCGTTCAAATTTATTATCGATAAACACACCGCATGAACGTGACAGGAAAAATGGCATGGCCGAGCATCGTGAATGAAATCGAAGCTGCAATTTTTGCTTTCTCATTTATCACGATTGGACACACCTGTTCGTTTCGTGACAAATCTTCCATTCAACATTCCTGCTATCAACATCTCCCGGAAAGTATTGTTATTAACGTCGACGACGCTGTCAATTTATTTTGTGTTATTGGGATTTTGCAAATTATTTAAATCTAGTGACATTTCGAAATTGCGTTATAATAAATAGTTTTAATTTAGCAGTTCAGTAATTATTTAAATTTAGTGACTTTTGTGAAACGTTTTAATTTAGTAATTTTAATAAATTATTGTAATTCATTATTTTTAGTAGTTATTTAAATTTAATAATTTTATTATATTTAGTCATTTTTATGGAATTTAATAATTTTAATGAAATTAGTAGAATATAGCCAATTTTATTAGTTATATAAATTTAGTAATTTTAGGTAATTATTGGAACTGAGTAATTTAAAAAAAATTAGTAGAATATGATAATTTTAATAGTCATTTAAATTTAGTAATTTTAGAAAATTATTGTAATAGAGTAATTTTGAAGAAATTAGTAGAATATGGTAATTTTTATAGTTATTTAAATTTAGTAATATTAGGTAATTATTGAAATTGAATAATTTTAAAGAAATTAGTAGAATGTGGTAATTTCAATAGTTATTTAAATTCAGTAATTTTAAAGAATTATTGAAATTGAGTAATTTTAGAAAATTATTTAAAATGAGCAATTACAGTGATCTACTTAAATTTTGTGATTTTAATAAAATATTTAAATTGAGTAATTTTATGAAATCACTAAAATTGAGCAATTTCAATAAATTACTCAGCTTGATTAATAAAATTGGGTAATTTTATCGAACTACTTAAATATAATAATTTTAATAACCGCTTCAATCTAGTAATTTTAATAAATTAATTTTTAGCAATTTTCTTACATTTTTCAACTGCAGTAAATATAGCAATTATTCGTAAGTAATATCTCTATAAAATATCAATAAATTTAGTTTCAGTAATGTCTAAAATAACCTCAATTACCAACCGAATAATACCTTTACCATTTTCAGGCTAAACGAGCTCCCCGATCCATTTAACGTGAATCCATTTAAAACTGTTGGTTTTTCGATTCATCAGATTGTACGTTTCACCGGCCCATCGAATCGGAGATAGTTGATCAAACATTCTTCAAACGAGTAAGAAGTAAATTAGTATAGCTTCACACCGATTTTCCCAGACTTCTTCCACTTGAGGAGGCCCGTTGATGGACAACTGAAGGCACGATGTATTATCAAAGCGAGGAGCTATCTCACGATCGAGGCAAAAAGGAGAAAATGTATTTGTTTAACGCGATCGTACCGACAGAAGAACCGAGACGAATTTGAATTTCAAAGGGGAGCACGTAGGCGTCTGAGCGTGTACATTTCACGCTTCGTGATTCCATGGAACGATCAACGAGGAATCTGATTGACCCGGCATCATGGCCACTAAACCATGTTTTCTTTCATATTGTTAGTTCATTAATAACACCGTTCTTTGGTATTATTCTACTTTTTCTGTCGATAGATGCTTAAAAAACGATGATATTGCGGTCGTCACGTCATTTGTGTGACTAGATGATATCTACTCAATTTTCGGTGCCAATGCTTTAATTTTTCTTTAGAGTAGTTTATTGAAAAAATCTAGGTAATATTGAATCTAGGGATATAAAGATTGTAATACCAAGGTTCATAGATATCAACGAATATATGAAATTAGGGATATTAGAATCTAGGGACATTGTAATTCTGGAGTATCGTAATCTTGAGGTAGCGAAATATAGGAATATCGGAATCTAGGGATATCAAGATTTTAGCATGTAAGGATCTAGGGACACCGATGTCCAGGGATATTGGCATTTAGGGATATCAAGTATATAGGGATATCGGGAGCTAGAGATAACAGAATCTAAGAATAGCAAAATCTAGAGATATGGGAATCTAGGGATATCTAGAATCTAGTGAAATCGGAATTTAGGGATATTGGGAACTAGTGACAACGGAATCTTGGAATAGCGAAATCTAGGGACATCGAGAATCTAGTAATATATAGACTTAGGGATATCTAGAATCTAGTGGAATCGGAATTTAGGGATATCGGGAACTAGTGACAACGGAATCTTGGAATAGCGAAATCTAGGGATATCGAGAATCTAGTAATATCTAGACTTAGGAATATATTGAATCTAGGGATATCAAGGATCTAGTGATATCGGAATCTAGTAATATGGAAATCTAGGGAAATAAAAATCTAGGAATATGGAAATCTAGGCATATAAAAATCTAGTAATATGGGAATCTAGGGATATTTAGAGACTAGTGTCACTAAAATTTAGGGATATTGAAAAATTGAGTGATACTACACCAGATTATAGTAAATAAAATATATAGTATTAACTTGTTATAAATCTGATAAGACTTGTTCTAAAATAAAAATTTGTACAAGTATAATGAAAATATTGTGTGAACAAAATTATATTGATAATATTTGCAAATTTTTAGAATCATTTTTAAAGTTTTCTATGGTGATGTGTATCGTTTGTAGATAAGGTAGAACGTGGGTATGTTAGTATAAAGTTTCCATACATTGCCTACAGAGGACTCACAATCATAATCTATATTATTATTATTACACATTTTAATTTACATGTTTAGTTGTAAGTAATTTATTTTATATTTTGCATATTATTTTATATTTTATATTTTGCATATTATTGGCTTCACAACCATAATCTATATTATTGTTGTTACACATATTATTTTACATATTTAGTTGCAAATAATTTATTTTACATTTTTCATATTATTTAATTAATTAATTTGTAAAATCTAAGGTTCATGTATTGATTATTAAAATTAAGATTTATGTACTAACTATTAAAATTAAGGTTTATATATTAATTATTAAAATATAGCAATTTTAAAATTCACGTATTTAAAAATAATTTCAAGGTTCATATATTAATTACTAAAAATGCAAAAACTTATATCTTATATTTCACTATACTGTTCGTTATAATTCAATAAAAAATTCCATTTGCGATAAAATGTAGTAAAATGCCAGATATATGACTGAAAAATGTAAGTACAGGTTCAAGCATTTAAGATAACAGCTCGATATAATTACAAAATGGAAAGAAAAACAGTTGTATGAGTTTTCATGCTCGAAGGATTTTCACGAGCCTAATCACTGTACCGTATATTTACATGAGTTCGCTGTTATAATAAAATTATCGGTATAAAGTAGAACTTAGATATGTAAATTGCAATCGAGTGGGTCTATGGTGTGCCTATCGATATATTATTCAAATGTAACTGATACTGTTTCAACTTTATTTGACTGAAATTCTTATTCGTGGTAATTCGAGATAAATTGTTTTGAAAAATATAGTTGCAAAGTGATTATTTTAATAATTGATGTACGGTGTTTTTATAGTATAGTAAATTTAAAAAATGTATAGTTCTTCAAGTTTTCAAATTTTAATTTTGGCAATTTTTTAGTTTCGTAATTTCGTGATTTTGTAATTTTGTAATTTTGTATTTTTGGAATTTTGAAATTTTGTAATTTTGTAATTCTGTATTTTTGGAATTTTGCAACTTTGTAATTATGCAATTTAGTCATTTTGTAATTTTAGAATTTTCTAATTTCAAAATTATAATTCCATCATTCCCAAATTTTCAAAATTTCAAAATTGGACATCCATATTTCTAAAATTTCAATTTTTCAAATTCCACATATTTCAAATTTTCAAATTCCTAATTTCCTAAATTCCTAAATCCCCTAGTTCCAAATTTCCAAATGACAGAATCCCTAAATATCAAAATTCCCTAGTCCCAAATTCTAAATAACAGAATTTTTTAATTTCTAAATTCCCTAAATCCCTAGATCCCTACTTCTCACAATCCCTAAATTCTCCAAACTTCTAAATCCTCAAATTCCAAATTCTCAAATTGCTAAATCTTCACATCCCTAAATTTCCAAATTCCCCAAATTCTCTAAATCCCTAGATCCCTACTTCTCATAATTTCCAAATTTCCCAAGTCTCTAAATCCCCAAATTTCAAATTCTCAAATTGCAAAATCTTCACATCCCTAAATTTCCAAATTCCCTAGATCCCTACTTCTCATAATTCTCAAATTCCCCAAACTTCTAAATCCCCAAATTCCAAATTCCCAACTTGCAAAATCTCCACATCCCTAAATTCCCTAAATTCTCTAAATTCCCCAAATCCCTAAACCCGTACTTCTCACAATTCTCAAATTCCCCAAATCCCTAAACCAATAAATTCCCAAATTCCCCAAATCTCTGAACCCATAAATCTCCAAATTCCCACTTCACTCTCCCAATTTCAAAATTCCCTCGCCTACCAAACAACCGTGCTTCCCCCGCAACCGCCAACCAGCGTCACTAAACAAACTTTGTCACACTATAACACCTCGAAACGGCAAAAAACCACAAACACAATCTCCCGCCGTCTCTCCACGGAACAATAACACCGAACACGGTCGTCAAGAGATCGAAGGACGAAAATAAAGACACTCCGTGCGCAGCGCCATAGAGAGCAGTGTAAAGGTTACTAGCTCGATCCGTCGGTGGGTAAATCAAGTTTACACTGCTCGAACGAGCACGTGCTATGCTTTTTTTTCTCTCGGCCGGTTGAACGGCGAAACCTTAGCAAAAGGAAGCCACGGTTTCTTGCTCGGCTTACAAGGCGAGCCGCGTTTTGCGATACCAACACGTTTCCCCTGCAATGTAATTTCACGAGCAGCAGGAAACGCATTCTCGGGCCGCAACTAGCCGTGCAATCGATTTGGTGGTTAAAATATTCCTAGACCGTGGGAACCGGCTCGACGGTGAGTGTCAAACGCGGACACCGTGCAATTATGAAAGCTGTAGCCTTAACGTGCTCATTACCACCGGTGCGTGGCATAATTGCGATGTCTTCTGACCGATAATGCCGATGGAAAGTACAGAGATGAGCTCGATCGGGGATACAGATAAATTCTACGTGCTCTTGTTACTCGCGCCATCGTCGACTCAACTCGAATGTTATAATTTACAGAAGTGTTTTACTTTTTAACGGACGATCCTTTGTGATTTTGTAGGGGTTGGTTTTTGTTTTTGAAGATTTTTTAAGGTTAGTGGAGGTGAACAGATGGAAGTTTGAATGATAGGTTAGGATATTAGAGAGGTAGGAAAATTGGAACATTGGAAATTTGAAATGTGGCAAGTTGGAGATGGTGATTTTTAAATTGTTATATTTACAACATTATATTATATTATATTATATTCATAACAGAAATTGAGAAGTGTAGATTGAAAATAATGAAAATATTTGGAAATTTGGGAATTTGGAAAATTGAAAGTTCAAAAATATAGTGTTATAAAATTTTCAAACTACATACATTTTAAAAATTAGAAGTCTATAAATTTAGTAACAGAAATTTGAAAATACAGAAGGTGGGAAATTGAAAAATTTGTGAATGTAAAAACTGTAAATTAAAAATTTGGAAAATTGGAAATTTGAAAATTAAAAAACTTCAACTCAAGGAAATTGAAAAATGTGAAAATTTCAAAACATAAAAGTGTTTAAGACTTGAAAAAATAAATAATTATTTGAAATTAACAAAATACCTTTGAAATTTATTATTTATTCAAAATTTCTAGTTTTCAAAATTTTTAAATAATTTCAAAAATTTCTAATTGCTAAAATGTTTGCATAATTTTAAAAATTTCTAATTGCTAAAATGTGTACATAATTTCTAAAATTTCTGAAACTTTTGTAAAAATATTAATTAGTATAATACATACCTCTAAAGCATCTATCATAAGATTTTTCAGCTCGTCAAGGCATTTGTTTATTCGAGCACGTCGTTTTCTTTCCAACAATGGTTTTGTTATCTAATATAAACAACGAAGAAAATTATATCAATGATTGATTAATATAAAAATAAAGAACTGATATTTTTAAATAAAGAAAATTATGATTTTAATAAATTTAGTTAGTAAATAAATGTTATGAAATTTTAATATACAACAATTATTATAAAAATTGCTATAAAAATTGTTTATCTATTTCATTTTACTCACTTTTTTATATTGATACGTCCTGGAAACCGGATGAGGGTATTCGTATGACATCATTGCACGTGTTGCAATGTCTTTTCAACTTTTGACAAGCTAGAGTACTTTACACCTAATGTATAAGAAAGAATAATTTCTATAATGTATAGGAAGATAATTAAATTTAACAGTCGTATATTTTAATATTTAAAATTAATAAACTTAAAATGTATTTTTTTTAATTTTTTTTCAACTTTCAAAAATGTTTAGTGTTTAAAAAATTTCAAGTTTCAGTATTTTAACATAAAGATTGATAAATTGAAAAAAATAAGGTGACGCAGTAAACATTATAAAATATTTTATAAAATATATATTACTCTTTAATGTTTACAATAAAAATTCTAAGGGGAAAATTTAGTCAAGAATTTAATAACTCTATTTATAATTACACAAAAGTAAAAGTAATAATTATATTTAATTACTAAATTTTTAGTGCTCAGCTATGTTTTTGACATAAGAAAATATTAATTATTATAAACAATTAGATTCTCTTCAAACTTCATTGCAATTTTTACATTAAATACTATTTTCATAAACTTTAACAATTTAGTGTTATATAAATAAGACTACAATTTTGAAATATTAAAAATATTAAAAATTTTTTATTTATTGTATATTAGTCACTGTTAATAATAAAACGTCAAGGTTAAATCAAGGTTAAACAACTAATTCACAAACTTTATTAATTCATTAAACCACACAAACATCGATCAGAAGTCAAATCATGTAAATGTTATTATTAAAATACAAGACTTTAAAATTACAAAAAATCTTAGATATTAATTTTTATATATTTTTTTTTTATTTCATCCACATTATATAAACATTTGTCAATTTCATGGAAGATCAAAAATAAGTCACAAAGTTTGAAATCCAATAAATTAGTCTCAACTTTTCGTTTTTAAGATCTATTAAACATCTGTAGAAAAATAATTACAAGAAAGACTCGATATTAACCAACAAACGACAATTTAATATTGTCATAATAAAAATGATCATTTAATAATTTCACCGCATAAAAATGAAAATTTATGTCTGTCATGATCACTGAATTTAACAATTTAATCAAAGTAAAATCGTATCCATTTTAATTTGCCTAAAATAAAATATACAAAACAACTATCAATAATAACCAAAACAAAAGTATAATAATATTTATCACACATACACAGACAATAAACAAAAATTATAACAAATCAACAAATGAAACAAAAAATGAACCTCTACAACTTCTTTGAAATAGATCTGATTCATTTCTCGCATTATGAAAGAAATTTCCAAGAGTAATTCAATAAACAAAAATTACTGCAAACCTTACGTCACAATCACAATAAACGAAGTAAAAAATTAACCTCTAAAACTCCTTTAATTCATTCTTCGTCAATTGCATCACAATCGAAAATTGCAAGAGTAAATCAATAAACACAAATTACTACAAACTTCATGTCACAATCATAACAAACGAAAAACTATCCTCCAAAACTTCTCTTTAATCACGTTACGAAAAAACCTTTCCAGAGTAAATCAAATTGACAATAAAATTGAAGAAATCTCCGCTATACTTATCGATATTTATCCTATCTATAAATATATCCTACATTTATCCTAAATCATGATAGGTAAAAGGAGTATTCCTACCTTGTTATTGTCGATACGTCTCGAAACTCGTAAACCATACGCGGAAGCGAACGAAACGTAGTCACATGGCATGAAACAAAGAAAGCAAGGGGAAACTTGAACACTTTCCGTGCACGTTGACGTGAGAAACGTGAGTTAAATGGTGACAGCAAGGCATGAAATTCACTGACATTAAACAAGCGAACGCACCGCGTGCAGTCCCTGAACAAACTGACTCTCCGCTGCCATTCAACCGGCAGCTACCCTCACCAACATCGAACCCTCTGCAGAAGCTACTTCTCCAGCAGAAGGTCGCTCGAAAATGCTTTCATTGTGTCTGTTGCGCCTACACCTACAAGTTACTACGCTTCGATGTACGTTCACAGTGGTGGCTATTCGAATTCTGTTTTGTAATCAAATGTAATAGGGCCTTGTGCCTCATATATTTATAGGTACTTTATTGCGTTATAGAGTGTTGTTTTTGTAGTGGATCGATGATGTGCCTGCATGAAAGCAGTTTTATAATGACCATTGCAACTGAAATGCCAATTGTTAGTTATGTGTTTTACAATTTTATTTGTTGTATTATTACTTGGTAATATAGAGTACACAACCTAAACTATTCTTTAGAAGATAACTAAGAGATTAAATTGGGTCATTAGTTTATTTTTCTACTGTTATACTAATATACTGTTTTACTGTTTTATTATATTGCAATTTCATTATTTTATAATTTTGTTACTGTACTGATTATACTAGTACTACAGTGTTCTACTATACTACTGTTTCAGCATTCTATTTGTTTAAAACGACTTTACTATAACTGCTCTACTCATTTAATATGTTAGTATATCAGTATTATGCTAATTTACACTTGCGATGTGTCACTATTTCATTATTCTGTAATTTTAATATTTTACTATGTAACTAGTGTTTTAGTTTTACTATGTTGCTATTTAACGATAATGTTGGTCTACTATTTTATTGTTCTACTGTTATATTATGTTACTACCCTACTCTTCTATTATTCTGATATTGTACTACTGTACTACTTTACTATTATATGTATGTTGTATTGTACTATTGTACCATTCTGTCATTGTACTAACTTGACATCCTTACTGTTCTACTATTCTACTAAGTCACTATTTCACTCTTCCATTATTTAATTATTGTACAATTGCAATATTTTACTGTACATGCTATTGGACTACTATTGTTTCACTATTCTATCATTCTGCTGTTTTTACTATATTCCTATTCTACTATTCTACTAATTCATTATATCTCAGTGCTTTTATTTCACCCTTATACTACATCACTATTGCACCATTTTCCTAAACTACTATATTTCCACTATTTTACCAACATACTATTGTATTATTTCACTATACTATTGTACTATTTTGCTGTTTCACTATATCATTTTATCTCTATTTAGCTAATTCTGTTACACTACAATCCTAGTACTTCACTCTGCTACACTTTTATCATTTCACCATATTACTACTTTAATAACTTATCAATTTGTTATTTTATTTAACTACTATTCTGACAATTTTATTGTGATATTATTCTACTATTTTATTCTGTTCTTGTACCACTAATGGTGAAACAATGGAATAGTAATATAGCAAATTAGTAAAATACTATAATAGTAAACAGTTACTATAGTGCTATAGTAAAGTGAGAAAATACTAGGCTACTAAAATAGCAAAATAATAATAATGTATTATGCTTTTATTATAATAGTACAATGCTAGTAAAGTAATAGATTGAAATAGTGGAATACTAGTATTCTAACATATTGAAGTATTAAAATACAAGTATAATAATATATTAAAATAGAAAAATATTAGTACAGTAATATATCAAAATAATGAAATACTAGCATGGTAATATATTAAAATAATTCAATACTATTATATTAATACATTGAAATACTAAAATACAAATATAGTAAAATACTAATACAATAAAAATAATAAAATAGCATATAGTGTAAGACACGTGACTTCATTTAATCCCTAACCTCAATTACAAAACCCGACTAACTGCTAATAAATTTCAATAACGATACGAGTATAATAAAAACAATTTTTAATAATTCGGAAACATAAATTTTTACTAATTCAAACGAACGAACAAAATATTCGGAGAATACGTTCGCTTCCCACATTTCGACGAGTATCAAAGAAGCCGTCAAGTCGCGAACACGCTTATATCTTCTACTTAGCACTCTCTCGAGCGGCTCGGAGCGGATCCTTCTACCAATTCCAAGCAGAGAGCTACATCTGCGTAGCTCACGTGGCTGTATCTGGTCGGTTGACAAGAGATAATGTTAATGGAGGGATTCGTCTGCCGTTTTATCGCGGCCCGAAGAGGACCGCTCGAAAATCCAACGATAAAGGAACCAGATTCTCGAGAGACTTCACAAAGGGCCCCGTTCAATCTCATCGAGTCCCGACGCGTCTGCTAATCGAATCGACTCTCGTTTCGTCTCCTAGGACCACTTGTCCACGAAAGTCCTTCAAAAAAAAGGAATTCGATGTTTGCTCTTCGAAGTTGTTACGTTTAACGTCGTCGAACCATTTAGAGTTTCAAACTTCTCGCTCGACAATGTTGTGTCACACATTAAATGCAGATGTTTACGCAAATGCCTCTCCAAGAAATAAAGATATAAGATGCACGGATCTTCAATTCTTAATATACATATAATTTAAATAACAAGTTTTTTAAATATGTAGTTTTATTTTTGGATATTTTCATTTTGTAAATGTTTGGTATTATGATTTTATAATTATAGTTATTTATTAAATTTGTAATTTTGTAATTGTTTATTACTTTTTTGTAGTAAATTATTTATTTATTGTTATTTATAGCTAATTATCTTTTTATTGTTATTTATAGCAGATTATTTATTTATTATTATTTGTAGCAAATTATTTATTTGGTATTGTTTATAGAAAATTATTTATTTAATATTATTTTGTAGTATTGTTTATTCATAGTAAATTGTAAAATTTAATCTTAGACATTTATAAAGTTTTTTTACCTTTAAGAATTTGAGTATTGATTAATTCTTATAATCGTGAATTTGAAAATTTTGGTCTGAAGATTTATAAATTTGTAAAATTAAACTTTTTTTAAATTTGATGATTTTCCATATTTATGTACAAAAATGATGGAGTGGCATCAGATGTTCTTCCAATCTGTAAATAAAATTTTAGTTACAAAATAACAATTCTAAAAATACAGGTTACTAAAATTAATTAACTTAATTATTAATAATAATAATAAACTAGAATTAACTGAATTTATACCATGAAAGAACTATCAAAAGAGTCAAGTATTTTTATATATAAACAAAATTTAAAAATTGCAGCAGTTAATAAATTAAAAATGCAACATTCAGAAATACACAACTGAAAAATTGTCTTACGTGAGCTTCCAATGTTTAATGACCGTACAGAAAGCATCGTTACGAAATATTCTGTTAACAAGACATTTTTAAAATCCCGTTAAAATCAGTTAACCTGTCGGAAGATCTTAACCTGTTGGTTTGGTACTCGACTTAAACGCCATTAAGGACCAAACGAGACACGTTAAAGGACTTCTTTCGGGGCAATCATGGAACAAAACTCGACAGGTTGTAATCAGCAAGCTTGAAGTGCCCTTTGAAAACTCTTCTTTCCACTTAAATTTCCAGTTGAGAGCAATTTTTGTCGCTCATTAGCCGAAATCTGTACGTTTGTATTGCTTCTTATGTGTTGCATAATCAACAGTTTAGTGTGTTATCATATATTATAGTATCTACCGATAAAGGTCGAGTCCTTTTCGTCCGGTTCAGCATTGCATAATTAACATTAAGTACGTGTGGTTAAACTTGATACTGTACGTTGCAGTGTCTGAATCAAGATAAGAAGAGAAATTATGTAAAGATCATGTAAAATTTTGATATAATTTCTGTTATAACTTACTGTGCTGAAAAATTTAACCAGAGGTATATGAAATTTTGTACAGAAAGGAAAATATAAGTTAAAATAGTGTTAGGTTAGGAATAAATTAATTTGTATTGTATACACAATTGTATTCCCATGAAATTAATACAAAAATTCTTATAAATATACTACACTTCATGTATTAATTTTATAATTTATATTTAGATATTTCTAAACGCACAAATTTGCAAAATTACTTATATTAAACCTGTCAAATCTTCTAAATTTTAAAGCTAAAAATAGTACAAGTTTAAATTACAAAAATAATTATTGATATTAAAAAATTATTAAATATGTAAAGTGGATTTTGAAATTTTTAAACCTTCTGATTTGAGAATATAAAATTTCTATTTGTAAATTTAGAAACTTTCAGATAGTCAACTTTTCAAATTTTTAAACTTTTAAACGGTTAAATTTCAAATTTTAAACGGTTAAATTTTTGAATCATTGCAAGCCAAAATTTATGAAATGGCAAGTGTCATGTTTTACGGCAGGGGTCCTCGATGTCGATTCAGAGTTGGTTCGTTGCTCCGCCATAATTAATTGGATGAACTTATTCGCACACGTGCCAGCGTTCATACTTCGCCGATGACGTTGACACCTTCGGTGATTACGAAATGCAAAGGTCTGCGCATAACTCCAGTCACTGGCGCGAGCGAAATTAACGGAATCATTTATTTCGAATTAAAATTGTTCTTACGGTAGCCGTGTTACGTAAATTGTGAAAAAGTTACTTAACGCTGATTCTAATGATTTACGGGATAAAGAGAAACCAATCTAAACGATTGGATTAAATAAAGATCTGTAGCTTGAATACTGTACACTTTGTGTACAAAGGGTGTTCAATATATGATTTTAATACGCTTGTTCTAAATTCTTCAATTTTTTTATCTAAAACACTCAAGTACTCAATTTATGAATCTAGGGAATTTGAGTCCCTTAAATCTTCAAACTTCTAAATTTACAAACACTCAATTCCACAGAACAAATTTTCAAATTTCAACAATATTTGAATTCTTCAAATACCTGAATTTTTAAACACTTACTATATTTTCAAATTCTCAAATATTCAAATACCTGAAATTTTTAATTTATAAGTTAATATACTTTTGAATATCTGAACATCTAAATATGCAAACATCTCAATTGCAAACCGTAAAATCACCAATTCTCAAATTCCGACATAAAACCAAACTGCAACAGTTTCCAACGGAAGAATGAAAATCACTCAGCGAATCATTCAAAGCGTGCAATTGTGACGGCGTCGGAACGTGTGCTTATCAATAGAATCCGAGTGCGCAATGTCATATAACGAGAGTTGGCTGACGAACGTGTCTCTCGGCTTCATTGACGATATCAAAGATCGGACACGAGTCGTAAACATTCGCACGCTTCGAGCCGCTACGTTTCGTTTCGTTGATAACAGTCTTGCGTGCTGGCACAAACGATAAACTATCGCGATACCACGCCGGTTTTCTGCCTGTCGGTGACATCATTGATTATTGTTTTCCTTCCTGGTAATACGCTTGGTACCTCGAAAGGACACGCGAGAACTGTGAGACTGCATAACAATCGACGCGGTGATTTTAACGGCGAAGTTGAAATACAATTTATTGCCACCTGCGACGCCACGATCGGGAACCTTTTCGGGTGTTGTAGAAACGATCAAAATTATTGATAATCTTTATATTTTATTTATAATCATTTTATGTAATAATTGATATATAGTAGAACTAATTGCGATAATGGATTCAGTTATAAATTTAATTAATTTTATTGTTAAGGTACGGTGGTGCCCTCTGCGTTTAGTTTCATGTAAACTTTCTCGTTCATAGAAAACGACAGGATGTCATCTCTACATATGACGTCACATCTGTCACGGATCTTCTATGCACATTTATCCTGTTTGTTTTATTATATTAGACGGTAATCTTCTATATTAATATTATCTTTCATTATTATTTTTTAATATAACTATTATTATTTACTGTTATTTTTCCTATTTTCATTTTTATTAATATTTATTTTTGTACACTAACCTAGAATGTGCGTGCATTGACATAAAAACCACTTGTACAATTAAATATTTATTAAACTCAAAATTAATACTGAAGTTAATACAATAGTCAACAGTTAATAATAGTAATAATAGACTGACCAAATTTTGATCATATAAATGTGAACCGACCTGTCAATATAGTAACCTAAAAAATATTTCGTTTCGAGTTCGATATATGAATAGATACACTCACATGTTGTAAATACCGAATGTTTTTTCGAGCACCATGTATAACGAAGCTCGGATCGAAATCGGGTCTGTAATTTGACAAACAAGATTTCACGATCGTGTTCTTTTCGGGCCTTTTGAAAGTTCACTCCCCGCGTACGAATGGGTGCAAAAATCGGTGCTCGTTTCCTTTCTCCCCGGCCACTCGAACGATTTTACGAGCGAAGTCTCGCTCGCGTGCACGTAAAAAGAGGCAGCCGGGTTTCCTTCGTTTCTTTTTTCATGTTTTATTGCAGTTGATTGCGGGGCCAGGACCCCGTGCAAGATTTTATAATACGCGAATCCGGATGCCCTTTCCACCTCTGCGGGGGGAAAACACGTGTGGTGCCTTTCGGTAAATACCCTCTGGAACATGCAAAATAGCATCCACCACCGGCCAAGAAGAGGACATTCCGGTAAATTGCATCACCGTATAGCATTGTTCGTGTTGGAGAAAGTATGCCGCAAGAAATTGGTTGACAATAATTTTCTGCTCTCCGAGCTGATGGTATGCGTTAAAAATGCGAGAGGTGTGTCGAATCGTACGAAAAAGTGAGAAGATATCTGAGGTATTTTAAGGGTACTTTATTCCGATGTTTATTTGTGTATTCGGTTTATTTCAAATTAAATAAGCTTGATTCAACGCTGAATTTGTTTACAGGGAATTTCACGCTGTTACCGTGATTGCATGCGGTAGGTTATGTGAAGGGAGGAAAATTGAAAAGCAATATTAATAATAGAACTGTGTTGTTTTTGTTAACAATAGAATTGTGCTATTTTTTAATTAACAATTCTTTTCTGGTAAATATGCATTTAGTTTTAATTAAATTTTAATTACTGCTATTTTTAAATTTTATAATTTTAATTTTATATTCATGGAAATTACAGCAAGAAAAAATTTTAAGAGAGGAAATGATGCAGATACTATAAAATAAAGTATTTAGTTTTTGGTTAATTTATTATTGAAATTAAAAATGTAATATTTATAAGTATTCGTATATTATATTTTGCTTGCATTAATTATAGTGTAGCTTAAGGTACATAACCTAAATAACGTTTTTACACTTATGTATATGTTTTGAGTTCAATTTTAATTCAAATTATTACTACATAAATATCTCAATACAAAAAACATGTTATATACATAAATATGTAATATTAAGTATGTTGGTTATGTGAGATATATATTAAATATTAATACTTCAACATTCAAGATGTCTTAAGACATTAAGATAATTTAAAAATGTTATTGTTTCCTACTTTAAATTGTTTAGATTGTTAAACAATTTATTGTTAAATAGTAAACCTTCTGTTTAAGTTGTTTCCTACTAATTTTGTTTACTATTTATTCAAGAGATTTTCCAGAATACATATCTACAAAAAATAACTTAACAATTTCGCAAAGTCTAGCTAATTACAAATACTTTCACTGTACCAATTAAATTAAATACTTCATTTTCTTTGCAGCACGCTAAATCTGTAAATCCCGATGAAGAAATTGCGAATAACACCGTTTCTATCCCGAAGATGAAGCATAAAAACAGAAGAGTAACCTGTAAATCGTGTCGCAGTAGGACGCGTGCTTGGCACGGTACGCACGCGCTTGGTTGCACGCGAGCGTATCGCGCGTCCCCAAAGAAAAGAGGAAGAATCGGTTCACAGTCGGCTGAAGAAGCAACGAGTGCTATGGGCCTGGTAGCCCGAGGGGGGGCAGGTGGGGCGGGGGCCTATCGGAGGCTACCGTGAGAACGAGGCAAGGCCTTATGTCCCAGACGGACCCCTCGACCGGCACGGGGTCCAGGATCGCCGCGTTTCACGACGGGGAGGGGGCAGAACGACAGGTCGGGCCCCGGCCACAGGGCAGCCATTCGGGGCCCGTGCTCGCGACAGAGACAAACATAGGCGCGAGCCTCACACGCGACTAGCACACGTCCTCGTCCCGAGCCGAGCGAGCGCAAACCGCGCTTCTTTTTTTTCTCCTCTGAACTAGCTTGCTCCTTCTTCCTTCATCGCCATCTTTCCGATACTTCGCGAGGGAATGATTGATGCGACTTCTTCTGGCGGGGACCGCGTTAATTGATGCCTGGTGTCGCCTACCACGTGACGTTGCGAAGAGACTTTTTGGTTGTGATGCTTTTGCGGAATAGGACCCACTAGTTTTGTGCACTAGGATTACTAATTCACAGAATTGATATAACTAGATCCGTTCATTTTAAAAAATAGGATCCATTTTTGAAAAAAATTAAGATATATAAAACTTAATATATTTTTGTCTCTGAGCAGTCTATAGTAAATATAATTGAAATTCCCTAATATTTGGGCAATGGTTTAGGTGATTAATGGTATTGGATGTTTATTAAGAAAGTGGTGCAAGTGCATTTTTGTAAAAATTAATATTTCTAAAAAATTAACACAATCAAAGTATAAATACACAGTTAAATATTAATAAATATAAATACATGCCAAGATATGTTCTAAAATATCCTAACGAGCAATTATTGATTATAATTGAACGTGAAACGTTCCATCGTGAAACGAATTTGTCGAAAGATACAGGCAGATGCGATGCAGTTCCTGTTACATTTGCCGGTGATCGATGGTGAACCATGAAGCAGGATCGTTTAAGAACGAGCCACATTACACAAACACCTTTTCACCATGTAAATCCGGTCGACATGACTGCCAATCTTCGATGCAGTCGCTTATCTACGAACGAGTCAGACCAATTAAGCCATAAAATATTTGCAGAACGCATATACTCGAAAATACACGACTCGTTGCGACGGTCCGTTAAGAAAATGTTATGGCAGCTTTCCCTCGCGTATCTTCATCTCGCCACGTCTCACGTGGTATCTTTTATGCGTTTATGCGCGTACTTGCGCAATTGAGTTTATTGCGCATGTGTGTCTGCGTATGGTGTTCGGTACAGGGCGATGATTTGAAATTTTAGTGATTATTATAATTGTTGTTTTATTCGTATTGTTATTTTATGGGAATTATGGGGATTTGTTGAATTCAGGGATTTCGGGAATTTTAGAATTTGGGAATTTGGAAATTTGAGTATTGAGAATTTGAGATATAGTGATTTTGCAATTTGGGAATTTGGAGATTTAGAAATTTGGAAAATTTGGGAATTTAGGACCAGGGAATTTTTCAAATTAGAGATTTGGAGATTTGAGAATTTTGCAATTAGGGAATTTGGCAATTTGGGGAATTTTGGGATTTAGGAATTTTGGAATTTTGGAATTTTGGAATTTTGGAATTTTGAAATTTGGAAATTTGGAAATTTGGAAATTTGGAAATTCGGAAATTTGGGAACTTAGGGATTCGAGGACTGCAAGTTTAGAATTTAGGAATTTGTGAATTCAGTGATCTAGTGACTTAGAGATCTAGTGATATAGTGTTTTAATGATCTAGTGATCTAGTGATTTAGTAATTTAGTGATCTAGTGACTTAGAGATCTAGTGATTTAGCGATCTAGTATTTTAGTGATCTAGTGACTTAGTGATCTGGTGACTTAGTGATCTAGTGTTTTAATGATCTAGTGATCTAGTGATTTAGTGATTTAGTAATTTAGTGATCTAGTGACTTAGAGATCTAGTGATTTAGTGATCTAGTGTTTTAATGATCTAGTGATCTAGTGACTTAGTGATCTGGTGACTTAGTGATCTAGTGATTTTGTCATCTAGTGCCTTCGCGATCTAGTAACTTTGTGAACTAGTGGCTTAGTGATCCAGTGACTTTTTAATCTAGTAACTTTGTGAACTAGTGGCTTAGTGATCTAGTGACTTTTTAATCTAGTAACTTTGTGAACTAGTGGCTTAGAGATCTAGTAACTTTGTTATCTAGTGAAGTAGGGATTTGGAAATTGGAGAATTTAGTTAATTAGATATTTAGAGTATTTGAAGATTTGGAAATTTTGCAATTTGAGAATTTAGAAACTTAGAAATTTAAGACATCTAATAATCTGAAAACGTGAGTATTTTGCAGTTTGAGAGTTTGAAAATAAAAGATGTACCGACTCGAAGAGATCATTCCACGCACCGTGCGATTCGATGATTTAACTGCGTGTATTGAAAACACTTCCGTGAACAGGCGTCCGAAATTGCGAGCCAGGTCTGAAAGGAGTGCATATTCTCACGCGAAATTTCAATTTCCGGTCTGGCAAGTCGCGAAAAGGACGACCTGGTCACGGACCGAGGCTCGCAATTGAGCGCCGTGTTCCTTTTCATTCGAGTGTCAATGAATGAAAAGAATTCCGTTGGTTCGTGCTCTTACTCGTTTGTCATCGATACTGTTATTATTTCATCGTAATTAAAATAATTGGACATTCGCAATATATTTATTTTTAATAACCACAGACGCATTATTACATCTTATGGAATTTGTGAAAAGTATATTAAAATACATTTGAAACGAATATTAAACATTTGAAAGAAACGAAAGAAGTGGTTATTTTATTATTGCTAAAATAATTGGACAGCGGAATTTATTTTTAATAACCAAAAGCACGATAAACATCTTATGGAGGACATTAAATTATCGAAAGAAACGAGAGAGGTTATTGTTAAAACAGAGGCAATTTATTTTGGATAAATACACCGAAAACTCGATAATTTATGGGAATGAGAAAGAAATGTTAGTAAATCAACGAGCATAAATCAATCGCAAGTGATAATAAATCCATAAAGAGTGAGATTTTTCGAAAGGAACGGCCACCTGTAAGCCGACTTTCCGTTTCGGAATTCCCACGATCAGAGAACACGTGGACTCATTCAACAGACGTTCATGCATATTTATGAAACAACAATGAAATTGGATTTGGCCCAGGAGCACATGGCTTATATCCTGGTAGCTTCCCTTTCTTCCTGGTCCGTGCGTACACGTTTCATTCATGAATCGACTGCACAAAGTGGCCGACCCTCCCCGTGGCAATTCACCGCCAGCCACCCCTTGATTCGCCATAATTTCGTCCTCGTGAATGGACGAGTAAACAGGAAAAAGTCAACGTGGAAGGGAAGAAATATTAAATCACCGGTCGCATGTTTGCGATAACGATGCGGCGCTCGGGTAGGGTGGTCCTCTTTTCATGGGGACCTGGCAGGTGTAATTACGGACAGCTACGTGTGTAAATCTTTTCTCTTACGCTTTATTTCACCGTTCGTGTCCTTCATGCAAATTGCAAGTACTTGCACCACTTATCACTAACTTCAGACTTGATGAGAAACCATAAATTGAAACCCTCTAACGAATTTAGGATTTTTGTCACATCTGTTGCAAGTTTAGACAATTTCAAATTTTTATATTTTTAGATTAAGAAGTTTGATAATTTGCAGTTCAAGACACTCGACGTTTCACAGCTCAAAAGTTTGTAGCTCAAGGTCATTTATATCTCGTTTGTACAACTTGTAGCTCAAAGAATTTATAGTTCAATTCCTCAAAACAACCTTCAAAAAATTCGGCAATATACAGTGCAAGAGATTTCAAGATCAGATAACCCAGAAGCCACAAAATAAAAACACCGATCGGTCAAAACAATGGAGGAAGACAGGCATCAATGATCAGGAAAGCGATTATCCGAATCTGAAACCGTTAATTTATTAACCGAACCATAGTAAGATAAGAAAGCGGGGTAATTTCAATGATTACCGTCCACGGTTAATTTCGCGACTTTCACCGTTGATCGTTACGCTTCTTAACAAAGATCTATGGCGATCGCGTACATTACTCGTCCGGCGGAAAATAAATTTCGGCCCCGGTCATCTTTCGTGCTGTAATGTTCCCGGGATCTTTGGCCATCGTCGACCCTCCATGATTTCCGTCAAAGTGCCGACCACGAACCGGCAGGTGCACGTCGCTAAAGGATCATACATCAACTTCTGCGATACCCCTTTGCGCATCCGGTACACATTCGAGATCGTAACTTATTCGCGAACGGTCGTTTCAAGAAGCTCGTTTTCGAGAAACTGTTTGTGGTTGGAATGAAGTATGTGGTTGAGGAATAACGCGAATGATTTATTTTTGAATTAATTTTTGTTTGGTAATTAAAGCCATTTATGTTTTGATGTCATTTAGCGTGAGGAAGTACGTTGGCATTACCGCGCAGATCTAATACGCACGTTTACTGCGCTGGTCTATTGCGCAAGATTACCGCGTAGGTCTAATACGCACAATTACTGCGCTGGTCTATTGCGCAGGATTACCGCGCAGGTCTAATACGCACGTTTACTGCGCTGGTCTATTGCGCAAGATTACCGCGTAGGTCTAATACGCACAATTACTGCGCTGGTCTATTGCGCAGGATTACCGCGCAGGTCTAATACGCACGTTTACTGCGCTGGTCTACTGTGCAGGATTACCGCGCAGGTCTAATACGCACGATTACTGCGCTGGTTTATTGCGCAAGATTACTGCGCAGGTCTAATACGCACGTTTACTGCGCTGGTCTATTGCGCAGGATTACCGCGTAGGTCTAATACGCACAATTACTGCGCTGGTCTATTGCGCAGGATTACCGCGCAGGTCTAATACGCACGTTTACTGCGCTGGTCTACTGTGCAGGATTACCGCGCAGGTCTAATACGCACGTTTACTGCGCTGGTCTACTGTGCAGGATTACCGCGCAGGTCTAATACGCACGTTTACTGCGCTGGTCTACTGTGCAGGATTACCGCGCAGGTCTAATACGCACGATTACTCCGCTGGTCTATTGCGCACGATTACCGCGCAGGTCTAATACGCATAATTACTGCGCTGGTCTAATACGCACGATTACTGCGCTGGTCTAATACGCACGATTACTGCGCTGGTCTACTGCGCACGATTACTGCGCAGGTCTACTGCGCCGATTCCTACGCAATAATCATATTTGTGTATTACGTATTATATATTACTCGTTTGTGATCGATTATTTTGTTAAAAATTAGAAATTAATTAATCTGTTCCAGTGAAGTAATAAGATTTACAGTTTGAAAGTTGTTTAACTTATGAAATAAAGTTAATATAACCTTATGTAATGTGAAATTAATTAATTTTGCAATATTATCAATAAATATACGTGAAGTTTAACACATGCAGTATAATAAAGCACATATACATAGTTAATAACCATAGAATATTACCTAACGAATGAACATTGAATTGTTTACTTTTTTACTAAAATTCTTTTTCGATTAACAACATATATTGAGTGGTATATTTAAAACATTTCTTCTTCATTTCTTTTAACAATTCGCCTCAATTAAATTTTTAATACCGATCATAAATAACCATCATAGTAACCGACGTAATATGAAAGTCTGAGACTTATCGTGGTAAATTTTTCACATACTCTACATGTTTTCTTTCAATTGTACTGAACTGTAACGAAAGGATTATCAGATGGGATTACGCGAGCAGCATTTTGAATTGCAAATTTTCCAACGTACCAAAGTAATGAGAACGCTATACGGCAAGTAATTACGTATAATTGCATGATTTTGCGTGCTTCATCGGCGTGCGCGTAATTATAAGAAGATCACTGTCCTCGCGTGGCATACACGCTTCGTTTATTATCCTTTTTTATATAGCGCTGTTGCACGTGTTGGCACGCGAGGCGGCTTATAGACATGCGAATTTGCGAAGGTATTTTTTCATTTTTAAAGTTGTAAATTTCTAAATTTTTAATTTGGATATTTCAAAATTTGAAAACTTTAGGATTTATAATTTTGAAAATTTTTGAACTTCAACATTTGAAACGTTGAACAATAAATTTTTAAATGTGAGATTTTGCAGGCTTTCTAATGGAAGAATTTGAAGTTTTGTAAATTAACAAATTTTCAAATTTGACAAGTTAAAAATGTCTAAATTTGAAAATATGCAAATTTTTTAATTTTTATACTTAAATATATGCAATTTTTTTTGTGTACTTGAACACATTTTTCTAATTTTTAAACATAAATACAACAATTTCAAAAATTTTGGACATACGAAAATTTTTAATTTTTAAACTTGAACACATGAAAATTTTTTAATTCCTATACTTCAACATACAAAAATTTCCAAACTTAAAAATTTATAAAT